AATTTAGAATGTTCCAGCCAAATTTCATGCTTGTATCACCAAGTGAACAATTGAAGCTGTTAGCCGCTACACTATAGGAAGGTTTGTAAATTACACACGTTAACTATTTATTTCCTTTTGCTATTCGGCTTCGTCTATAGGTCATTCTGATACCGGTCTATACCCGCTCCGCTCCACTTTCTTGACCTATTTTTTCAAACGATTATCGATATCGAACGTAAACGTAGCTAGCTACCGAAAGAAATACTTTCAGTCAAGATAAGGCTTCATTCAGTGGGTTTATACACCAACAAAAGTGAGCGAAGTAAAAGAAGAGAGGGATCTAGGGTAAAGGTCATTTCTCGAGGCTCCTCTCTTTTTTCTTCGTCCGCTTCCTAGCTTCGCGCAAGGTTTCTTCACAGAAGCAAGAAAATTGATTTACAAGCATCAGCAGCATTGACATATGCCCAATGACTGGCAAAGCGTTGTGATGTGTTTATTTTGTGGAAAATTGTTGAAGTATAAGAGTATTATTTTAAGTGTAGATGAACAAATCATGACGCTAAAAATACGTGTTGCGGTGACGGTGTTTCGTTGACTTTTCTTGCGGTGATGCGGCGTTCGTTAATTTTTTTTGCGGTGTTGCGGTGTTCAGAACCCCCCTCCCCCCATGTCCACCTCCTGAAATCACGGACGCGAGCGTCTGCAAGATTGATGTTGAGGAGTGGTATTGATCCCAAGATCGTCACCACAAGGTCTATCAACCAAATAAGGACAACACAGATCATGACCTTTTTCTTTGTTTTCCAGGCAAGGTACTTGAAATCGAAGGCAATGGCCAAGAACACATTCGCCATCATAGCGAGCATTGAAGTAAGGTTGAGAATCGTAAAGACTCGGCTTAGGAAGGCTGTCACTATAGCCAAGGTCTGACCTCTGTACCAACTGGCTTCTGAGTTGGAGATCATATGGAAAGGCAGGTTAACAGCTGCGTAAAGGAGGTCCACCACTGCGAGATTGGCGATGAGAATGTTCGGAACTGTTCGTAACGATTTAAACCGAGCAATCGTCGCGAGAACGAAGCCATTACCAAGCGCAGAAGCGGACGTCAGAACAGCGCCTAACATGTTCATTATAACCTTGGTAAAAAGCGATTTTGCTAGATACATTTTGAGACGTATCCTTCAAAGTGCGCTGGAAACGTCTGGCGATGTTATCAGACAGCGAAAGTAATACAATAACCCTGGAAAATACCAGCTGGGTTACATAGGGTATTTACTATCTTGTAAAATGTCCGGAACAAGAGCTATAGTTATATAATAAAATTTAAGTTGGCTGCAGCCATCGACACAAATTTACAGTGCACGGACAACCTGACCACGGCAAAACTATGATCACAGTCAATAGATAGACAATGATGTTTTTCCCTCGTTGATAAATTATTGTTATCCAAGATAAAGAGCTGGAAATTTCTACTAATCACTTATATAAATGATTCTGATTTCCTGGCAACTTTCCCAGTTGCAGTAAAAAAACTAACACATCCAAGATTTAATTTAACTTTATTGATTAAGTCGTTGACACGCGTTTTGCTTTCCAAGTGACACAAA